GGGGGGGGGGGGGGGGGGGGGATGAAAGAAATGTAATGAGGAGCACAGAAAAAGAAAAGATTGATTAAAACAACAAAATAAACCAGTTACAGGTAGGCCTCAACTTATGACCACTATTGAGCCCAAAATTTCCATTGCTAAGTAAGTTGTTTACTGAATTTTGACAGATTTTACAACTTCTTTTGCCATAAACGTAAAGGTTTCCCCTGTCCAGTCATGTCCAACCTCAGGGGGGGCAGTGCTCTTATCCATTTCTTAGCCAAGGGAGCCAGCAGTGTCTGAAGACACTTCCGTGGTCACGTGGCCAGCATCACTATATATCTGGGGTATATAGCATGGCTGGCTAGGGAATTCTGGGTGTTGAAGTCCACAACTCTTAAAGTTGCCAGGTTTGCAGAAGTGCAAAAAACAGTCAAGTCACTTTTTTCAGTGCTGTTGTAAATTTGAAGAGTCACTAAATGAACTATTATAAGTCGAGGACTAGCTGTATATTTAAAGAATGTATTATGAAAGATAAAAAATACCATTTATATTTCACTTTAAGAGAAAAAGGAACAACAACCATTTTCTCCATGGCTTGTATAACTGTTAGAGAAACTTAACAGTTAATGCATTCAGTTAAGGTTTCACACGTAATAAAATGCACCCATATTTTAGTATCATACATCACATGAAAACCACTCCTTAGAAAAAGAAAAAATAAGTACCAAAAGAGGCGATGTATATTTTTTTAAATATACTGCAAAATCTGGGATTTGGGATTCTTCTAAGTAGAATAGGCAAATAATAATACAAAAGTTCAAGCTGAATTACTCATGCAGATGGATTTTATAGCAACATACCAAAAAATACACTACTTAAATGTTGTTTTAAACAGACATTTAACATCTAGACCTGTGGTGGCGAACCTATGGCACGCGTGCCACAGGTAGCACGCAGAGCCCTCTCTGTAGGCACAGCCGCCGTTGCCCCAGTCCTAGGCCTTCAGTCATGTCCATGAGCAACCTGCATCAATACCCACGCAGGGTAAGGCCTCCCCAAGCATTTTTTTTTTTACTAACCTGCTTTCAACTGCATTCCATTTCTCCGTTTGCTTCTCAGCTTTCACCGCGTGTTTGTGGGACTATCGATAAAAAAAAAGTTCCATCAGACTTTCTAACTTCTCGCGAGATCTCAAAAAGTTAGAAAGTCTGATGGAACTTTTTTTTTTTTTTTACCAATTGTCCCACAAACACACGGTGAAGGCTGAGAAGCAAACGGAGAAACAGAATGCAGCTGAAAGGCAGGTTAGTAAAAAAACGCTTGGGGGAGGCAAGTGCATCTGGGCGGGGGAGGGCGTGGCAACCAACCTTACCCTGGCGGGAGGGTGGGGCACATGCCCTTCCCATGGCAGACCAGCCCTTGCAGCCCTGGGGTGGCCGTGGTGGGCGGCAGTGGGCAGGGTGTTGAGGTGGGGGACGGCAAGACGACCAAAGCAGCAGGTGGAGCGCCAGAGGTTCGGGGAGGGAGGGCGCTGAAGTGGGCAGCTGGGCCATTGGCAAGAGCAACATGTCTGAGTGGAAAGTGGCCTCAGAACAAGTGGGGCAAGTAAGGAAAGAAATCCTTGCTCCCCCCAGAAATTGCCTTTCTTTCTTTACCTGACTTCCAGCTCCATGCCGTTTCTCCTTCACAATCCACTGCCGCATGCAAGGAAATGAAGTTTTTTGGGGGGGAGGGGGAAGGTCAATCAATCAATGCCAACTTCTCATGAAAGATCACGAAGTTGGAACTGATTGACCTTTTTTTTTCAAAAAACCCTTCATTTCTTTGCACGCAGCAAGGAATTTCTGGGGGGAGCGAGGATTTCTTTCCTTACCTGCCCCACTTGTTCTGAGGCCACTTTCCGCTCAGACGCGTTGCTTTTGCCAATGGCCCACCCGCCCACTTCAGCGCCCTCCCTCCCCGAGCCTCCGGGGCTCCACCTGCTGCTTTGGTGGCTCTGTAGGCCTACAGAGCCACCAAAGCTGTAGCTGAATGGGCAGGTGAGGGGGAAACCTGCCCCACTTGTTCCACGGCTGCTTTCAGCCGAGCCGCATTGCAGCAGCATTGGGCGCAATATGTGAGGCAGCAAACAGCCGCATCACACCGAAACCGGCTGTTTGTCGCCTCCTGCCCAATGCTGCAGCCATGAGGCTGCGGAACAAGCCAGGCGGCGGTAAAAAACCAGTATACCGGTTCCTTGCCTCTGCCGGGGTTGTTCCGCGGCCTCATAGCAGCAGCATTGGGTGCGATGCGTGAGGTGGCAAATGGCCGCGGCTGGAGGCAAACAGCCATGTTGTGCCGAAACTGGCTGTTTGCCGCCTCCTGCCCAATGCCCCGGGCGGCAGTAAGAAACTGGTATACCGGTTCCTTACCTCCACCCAGCTTGTTCTGCAGCCTCATGGCAGTGGCATTGGGTGTGACGCGCAAGGCAGCAAATGGCCGCGGCCAGCGGCAAACATCCACGTTGCGCTGAAACCAAGGGTGTGGTTTCAGGCTGTGGCTGCTGGACACAGTTGGCCCCCATGTGCTCGATGTGTGCACGGGCCGATGGTGTCAGGCAACAGCCCCCAGGCCCCTGCCTCGTCTTGCCTTGCCCTGCGGCAATGGCACCCCTGCCCTGCCCTGCCCCCTCCCTCACCTCACCTCACCCCACAGGATGAGCCTCCTGCCCACCATCCCACCTGCCAGAGACCCCCTGAATCTCCTCCAACCCTGCCCGGCCCCCACAGGTGTCCCTATCCACGAGCAAAATTGAAGTGCCCACGCCTACCCCGGCCATACCCACCATCTGCCGTGACCAGCACAGCCATGCCACCCAATGGGCCAATCCCACCCAATGGACCACACCCACCCAGCACCCGGCAATACATAAGTGGGTTTTGGGTTGCAGTTTGGGCACTTGGTCTCTAAAAAGTTCCCCATCACTGATCTAGACCAATTAACAGCATATCCCACTTTCCCTCTGATGTGCTCATTAGTACAGATAGTCCTTGACTTATGACTGATAATAGAGCGTGCCCATTATGGCCATCAGTCATTGCAGTCATTCAGCAAGGCGTTCACGATTGCTTCGCTCAGTGACTGTTTTCCTGTCTCTCACAAGTGCAGTCACTAAGTGAGCTTGTAGGTTATTAAAAGAGTGAAGCAAAAGAGCTTTCTGCTGAAATAGTTGCCTGTGCACAGAATGGATGTCCTGCATTGGACCAGAGAAAACAAAGCTGGGATTCGCAAAGAGCTTCGTTTCTCTGGTCCATCCCAGGCGTTCCCCTCCCCTCCATTTGCAAAAGGGAACTGGCATGCTGGGCCGGGGAAACGAAACTCAGATTCTGAAGCACCAGTTCCCCTTCCACACACGATGGGGAGGGAAATCTGGAAATGGAATTTATCTGGAGTTTTATTTGGATTCTCAAGCTGGATGGTGACACTGCCCCACAGAAGGAAGAAATCCATTTGACAGGCAGCCCTGTCATTCTCAAAGATGCTGCTTGAAAAAGTCCAAGGCGCTGCAAAAGCTAAGGGGGATTTTACCGCAGGGGCACTTGAAGCCTGACTCCATGTGCTCCCTGCTACAAGTGGCCCAGGATAAAATCCCTCTTGGCTTTTGTCATGGACTTTTTCAGCCAACGCCTTTGAGGGCTGCCTGGAGGAGGGAGTCTGCCCTCCACAGGAAGCAAAGTCAACCTGGTAGGCAGCCCTTCTGCTCTTAAAGAGGCTGGCTGAAAAGGTCATTCCCAAAATGGGTCCCGACGGATCTTTTTCAGGCAGACTCCAGGACCCAAAGGAGGGAGACCTGCGGCAGCAGCCTGCAACTTTTCCTGTTGGCTTCCCTGTTGACTTTCTAAAGAAGACTACAAATGGTGATCACATGACATGACCACAGAGGGCCTGGCAACCCTTCATAAATGCAAATGGGTTGCCGAGAGCAGGGATGGCAATCACATGACCGTAAGAACACTGCTACAACCATTATGATCAAGCACTAGCTGTAAGTCCCTTTGTTCAGCATCCTAATTTTGCATGGCTGCTGAACAAATGGTCGTAAGTCGAGGAGTACCTCTCTATGTTGGACTAGGGCTGGGGAGAGGGAGAGAGACATCCTTCAGACTTTATGGGATCGAATTCATATTTCCATCACCAAGAATGTCCTTTTTTTCAGCTTTTTGTATCAACAAATCCTAGAGGGAACCACTTTGACCTTTCAATTTTGTTTCATATTCAGAACAAGAAGTCCCAAATCTCAGAACAATTAGACTTGCATCTGAGCAGGCAACAACTCGTGACAATTAACATTACACCACGTACTAGAAAAACTACCTGCTGAGGAACTGGGCATAGTTTACTGCCCTCCTTTAGGCATAGGTTCTCCCTTCGTTTTTTTCTGGAAGGAGGATGATTACTGTCATCCAACATATCCCAGTCACCAGCATTCAGAGTTTTTATTGCCTGTTGAAAAACAGCCTTACTTTTAGAGAACATGTTATCTGGGAACAAAATACAAATGTTAGCTTTTAATGCAGTCACAGGTAAAACAAGTAAATGCAGCAAAAGCGAAGGAGCAGCTCCAAGATTCCAGCAAAGAAGAGGAAGAGGGAGTCATTGAAAATTCTTACTGCAAAAAAGCGACTTTTCTGGACAAATCACAACTGATATCCAAATACGCTTACTCTACTTACTCGCTTTTGGGAGGCTGATAGAGACTCTTCAGACGCCCCAGGCATTTGTTCGCTAGATGGCTGCTCATTCACCAATGATCCTGACAAAGGAGAACTCTCCACCCTCAAGTCTCCATCAGGTTCCATCTCTACCACTGAAGTCTTTTCTTCATCCCTCCTGTCTGCAACCAAAATATGACATTTTTTGAAAGTCAATTAAAGAGTAATCTGAACTCAATTGAGAAGCTGCAATGTGAATCTCAGGAACAAAGAAAGAGAAACGATTTGCTTAAGCTATTGAAACTATCAGTTTTCTACCAAACCTTTTTATTGCAAAGTGTATTTACATTCCCAGGCCTACACTACAGGAAACATCAACCATTCAGTGCTTAAAGTGCATGCTGTTACCTCTTTTGTTTAAAAGCAACTATGCACATAACCTAATACAGTGAAGGCGAACCTTTTAGAGACCGAGTGCCCAAACTATAACCCAAAACCCACTTATGTATCGTCGGGTGCCGGGTGGGCGTGGCCCATTGGCTGGGTGTGGCCCATTGGCTGGGCGTGGCTGCGGTGGTAACGGCAGACTGGGCGGGACTAAAAAGTTCAATCAATCAATTCCAATTTTGCAAGATTTTTTTTTCCCAAAAGAAGTTGAAACTGACTGATTGAACCTTTTTTTTTTTTGCACATGGCAGCGGAGGCCTAAAGCAAAAAGGTTTTATAAAACCCAGCTGAAGGCCTAAGACTGGGGCAACAGCGTGCGTGCCCACAGAGAGGGCTTTGAGTGCCACTTCTGGCACCCGTGCCATAGGTTCGCCATCACTGACCTAATAGCATGTATATCTGAAATGCTCTCCATTTCTCTGGTAGCAGCACTCATTCAATTGGAGGGGAACAGATTAATTGGGACATAAACAGATAACTAAATATGTCCATGAGTCTATAAATGTTACGGGGCTATTACTACAGGACTGGTACATATTTTAAGGGAGATTTTTAGATTAATTTCATTAGAGACTTTGAAAGATTTGCTGAATTAAATATTAAGCTGAAACTAATTCAAGAAACTAAATTATTATTCAATGTTGTGTAGTTTACTCTAAGTTAATATACTCCAGGTGACAGGAAATAATGTAAGTAACAACCATTTATTCTGAAATGAGTTTTTTTTTAAAAAAAGGAATAAAGGTTACAAGAGAAAGGCAACATATGTATCTTTATTACTTTACAGCTTTTTAAAAAAAAATAAGCAGAGTCAAATTAGTGGTACATTTACAATACCCAATCTTGGTAGAATACAGTGGTTCTTACCCTGTGGTCTGCTCATGAAGACTTGTAGAAATGTTATGATTTAAATCTTGAGTTAAGTCTTAGGAGTCCTGGCCATGGTCCACGGCCACAAAAGGTATTTAAAGGAGGGCCAGTGTGAAAGAAAAGATTGAGAACTACTGCTCTACCATATTCAGCACATGACAGAGAGCAAACTAGACAGCATAAAGAACTCTAGAAATTCCATTTGTAATTTTTTCTACACCCCATATTTTTATTTTCCAGTTCCAGTTCTTATTGAGAAACAGTTGCATCTGATCGAGTGATTCACGGCTGGGACTGCAAAGAACTTACTTTGCACACTGCAAGACGGAGTCAACTGTCCTCCACAATTACTGCAGAACTTGTGTGATGCATTTTGAGTGTCATGACATTTAGGGCATTTAATGCCCTTCTTGGGTGACCGGCGACCCAGGGTGAGCTTTTTACAACCTGTCGGAAAGCAAAATAAGCAAAAACGGGAGGAGAGTTATTCATACAAGTAGGAGGGACAACTGCGCTGCCGCGGCAAACAGAAATCCGCGGAAGAAGGAAACGCTTTCGGTGCTGTACGATAGGCGCAACCCTGCCGCCGCCGCCGCCGCGTCCAATCAACGCCGACTATGCAAATGAGGGTCGATTACTTTCGTTTTCCTCTTCAGCCACCTGCGCCCAGTCTCACCAATGAGAAAACTTAAGTCTGAAGAAGCCCAGGTTAACACTGTCACACCCAGCATTCCCTGCCAAAGGATCCCAACCCATCGTTTCCCAAAGCATCGCAACCACGAAACACTTGCTTTTCGGAATAAGGTCTTTTGTTGCGTGAAAATATCAAGCGTCTACTGTATTACTCCTTGTCTAACGCTCCTTACGGCGTAATTTAGAACAGCGGCAGATCCCAGAAGAGGGAGGATACCTTAACTAGCGTTTAGCCCAAAACGAAACTATAGACGGTTTAAGCCCTTTGGCACCTTAACAAACTGTTCTTCGCGTCAGATCACCGGTGCCACACCCAGAAGGGCTGCAAATACAAGAAACTAGAGAACCACAACGCCCCCCCCCCCACTTGGGAAGTTATTATCCCATAAGGAAAACGATCTTGCAGGAAAAGCGGTCTCCCCATTTTCCCATAGCGACAAACGACCGACATCCCCGTCCTACCGCGACACTATGAGTTACAAAACGTCAGATTGTGTGTTTTTTTTTTCCCCAGCGCCATAAGCCTGAATAAACGCTTCACATCCCAACCGGAAGAGATGAGCGTCGCAACGCCATCCTTTAAGCCGAGCTCCTCGGCTATAAGGAGCTAACGGGGCTCACCGTAAAGCAAGCGAGTTATCTGCAGGGACGCATCTCCGGGGCGCCTTACTCACCTCAGCCGAGATCAAAAGGAATCCAGCGGGCCGAGAGCAGCACCGCGCAATTAAAGAAAGACTTTCCCCAAAAACTCTTCTGCTCCAACCTGCAGACGCAGCCGGCTAAAGGAAGAGTCCCCGGCGAAGTTTCGTTTTCCGCCGCTGCCTGCCCCTTTTATTAGAAGATGCACAAACTATCGCTTTCCAAACGTCACACTGGCGCCCCGCCTCTGTATTTAGTTTGCAGGCTGCTGTAGGACCCAAGCCGGACTGCGGGCGGGGAATTCCAGAAAGCGCGTGCAGGAGGAGGAGGAGGAGGAGGAGGAGGGTTGAGCGCTGTCCGCCCTCACAGCGGAAAAGTCCAGCCCATCCGGACTCGATTGAGCCGGCTGAATTTGCTTCCCCCAGGCGGGCTGCTGAAAAATGCCTCCACTGCTTCTTGCGGTGAATTGCCCAGTGGTGAATGTGAGAAAGCGCACACACTGGACAGATTAGTGAACTGTTAAATTTGACCTCCCTATTGAACCAATAGATGAAGACAACTGAAACTCCATTGCCAAAGAAGCCATCATGCAGCTGATTGTAGTACAGATTCTGTTGCATTTCATGGAGAGATATCCAGGCTGTACAGATAATCCTTGACTTACAACCGGTTGTTTAATGACCGTTCAGAGTTATAATAAATTTGGAAAGGGTAGTCATGTCCCTTGTGAAATGTCACACTGCAGTCACATGATTGCATTTTGGGTGTTTGTTTGCCTTTCTGATTGGTTATCAAGTTGCCCTGTGATCGCTATTTGTAATCTTCTCTGCCAGCTTCCTCAGAAGGTCAGTGTGGAAGCCAGAAAGGAAGGTTGCAAGCTGCTGTGTCCTGCTGAGAGGCCTCCCTCTTGTCTCTGGGGCCTGATTGAAAAAGTTGCCTGACAAGGAGAGTTGAACTCCCTGTGCTGAAGGGAAAAAAAAGAGTTGGATCCCAGAGATCTGAACTCTGTTTCTACAGCATGGCGGAGCCATTTTCTGTGCCTACTCAGTCCATCTGCCAGGCTGCAGAAATAGGGCTCAGCCTCAGACCATGGAGGGCCAAGCTCTGTTTCTGCAGATCCCCCTCTCCCAAGGATCTAGGCCAGGGGTCTTCAAACTTGGTCCTTTTATGACTTGTGGACTGCTGGCTGAAGAATTCTGGGAGTTGAAGTCCACAAGTCATAAAAGGGCCAAGTTTGAAGACCCCTGATCTAAGGGAGCAAAAGTAATGTGGCTGGTTTGTTACTCTGCTGGAAAATGGAGAGCTGGAGATGTCAAGAACTTCATTCTCAGTTTTCAGGTAATTTTTGGAGAGACAGTAGATTACCCAAGGAGATAATGTCATAAAAGTACGTTCGACTACTTAAAGATATTTCTTCGACACTACCTTCGGGAGCCACAACCTATCTCGAGACTTCAACTTGTGGGTCACCCAGAAGTCAAAGTAAACGTAACAGGGAGAATCCTGACTTAAATTATACCTTTCCCTAAGAGAGGGGTACACAATTTTTCATCTGGATTAATTTCCATTGGTTAAGGGGTCTGCAGGTCAGTCACATTTATGACAGCTATAAGATTCTTCTGTCTTGAATCAATGTTCCATCTCTCTGTTTGCAAGCATGTGCAAGCAGTTCTCCCTCCACATGAAAGCAGCTTCCAGAATCCAGTTGCTTAGCTTGTGACAAAGGCGGGAGTGGTATAATAATAATAATAATAATAATAATAATAATAATAATAATAATAATAATAATAATAATAATAATAATAATAATAATAATAATAATAATAAAGTTGGAAGGGACCTTGGAGGTCATCTAGTCCAACCCCCTGCTCAGGCAGGAAACCCTATACCATTTCGGATAAATGGCTGTCCAGTCTCTTCTTAAAAACTTCCAGTGCCCTGATTGTTTCCAATTTGTTATCAGTCAATGTAATCAGCAGTTTAATTATAGAGCAGACTAGTGTAGAACATCCATTCAGTTCACCAATATATGATCACAACTTATTCTGTGGAAGAGTCACAAAGAAGTTAATAAAACTACCATATTCCACACTTTCCTTCTGTTCAGTTCATGACTACACCTAGGTGGGAATCTTGCCTAAATTTGTCCTTGACAGAACTGATAATTTTCTGTTTTGATTTATTTAATTAGGTTTCTCAGGCCACTTATGCCAGGTTTTTTTTTAATGCCTGCTATGCTTGAACAGTTGGCCTTGAAGGCTGACTGTTGAGCGAAACATTTCCAGAGGAGATGGTCCTGAAAACAGAAGATGGCATTCTTCGTAATCTCCACAGGTATCTTATCCTTCCTAGCTTCAGCAGAAGGATGGTGAGTTTTTTAAAGCAAGCACATTTTTTCCTCTCCCAAACACGAGAGCTAATTTTTCTGCCTTCCTTAAATCAGCCTAGCATGTTTGGAAGAATATTGGCTGTGGGGCCCATCTCTCTGTGCTGATGCTGTGATTTGCCTCTTTTAAGAATTTTATTAAGTTAAATATTTCTTTAAATTAATTTTATTCAGAGCAGATGAATTTCAGGTTGTCATTATACCTTGGGATATTTAAAATGGCAATATTTATAGATTCATTCCCTTTTTTCCCCCTTTTTATTCACTTCTTCCTTGCAAGTCCCCCATCTCCATCCTTCTCTACATTTATACCTTTGGTCTGATTTTCAGCCTGTTGAAACAGCTTTGTGCAAATAAAAAAAAATAATTAATCAATTTAGTAACTCATCTCGACTATAACGTAAGCCTTAAAAATAGGCATTTCAGTGTTAGAAATCAAAGAATATGATACCACTTTGTGATACTAATTTTGCAACCCACAGTCTCTCCCACACCTTGTAGAACACACCAACACCTAACCCCAATGTATACTATAGGTTATTACTCCCAGCGTTTTGACTTTGCAAATAGAGTTAGCCACACACAATGATTTATGTACAGGCAGTCTTCAACATATGACCACAATTGAGCCCAAAATTTCTGTTGTTATGTCTGTTGAGACATTTGTTAAGTAATTTTTGCCCCATTTTATGACCTTTCTTGTCTCATTTGTTAAGTGAATCATTGCAGTTAATAAGTTAGAAACCCGGGTGTTAAATGAATCTGGCTTCTCCATTGACTTTGCTTGTCAGAAGGTTGCAAAAGGGAATCACATGACCTTGGGACACAGCAACTGTCATAAATATGAACCAGTTGCCGAGCATCTGAATTTTGATCACGTGACCATGGGAATGCTGCAAGGTCGTAACTGCGAAAAACTCATAACTCACTTTTTTCAGTGCCGTTGTAAGTTTGAATGGTCACTAAATGAACTGTTGTAAGTCGAGGACTACCTATATTTCTGCATTCCTGGCTCACTTCAGGAAAGTGGAATGCAAGCAGCAGTCATATCCAACTGGATGTGTTTTTTGTAACAATGTTCATTACGTATTGCAAAATAACCCAAACATAAAAATATTTCAAAATCATTGTGCCCATTCAAGTAATAAGTTATAATGAGTTGAAATTGTGTATCAGGTAATGAAACACAAAAAATAAAGCAACAAATCGTGTATAGCCTGGTAAAGATGCCATCATGTTGTTGTTGTTGTTATTTGCGAAGTCGTGTCCGACCCATCATGACCCCATGGACAACGTTCCTCCAGGTCTTCCTGTCCTCTACCATCTTGTGGAGTCCATTTAAGTTCACGCCTACTGCTTCAGTGACTCCATCCAGCCATCATGCCATCGTATCTGTGGTCATTTATGTTATATTTCTCCTTGGTGGGATCAGCTCTGATGATAGTAATACACAGGTGTCATTTTTCTTTTCAAAAGAAGTGAGATATACCGTAATACCTACTTGATGAAATGATGAAACTATAAGATTGCATAGTATGGAATGAAACATGTTGCAGCCATCAGAATTTAAAATAGAATAGAATTTAAATAGAAAAATATAATTTAATATAGAATTTAAAAATAAAAAGAACATAGGAAGCCTTTGATCTGCCCCCACCCCCCTTTTAGCAGCCTTTGAACTTCCGGAAACATACAATCTTAACACTTAGACTAGTACTTCATCACTGGCTCCATCAAAGAATTCCCTCAGGGGTGTCAAACTGCTGGCCCGCCGGCTGGTTTCATCATACTGAAGCCGCGCCCACCCCAATGCAAAAAGAGTCGCGATACGTCGCGACACGTCATGTGACGTGGCGAGTTTGACAGCCATGCCTCAAGGGAAGACGCCAGATTCCCTCGTAATAATCCACATCTAGGGAGGATCTTCCTTCCTGGCCTTCACACATCCTCAGGGCAATACACCTCAGGATCAAAGCCCAGGGCAGGAGCATCTCAATCTGTGTATCTAAACATCAAAGCCTGCTTGTCATTATATATACACCTCTACTGGTAGACCCCTAACTAGGTAGACTATCTCCAACCATTGTATGTGGTTGAATGAATAAACTCTACTTCTAGCAGCTACCCCTTTGAGTTTATTGCATATTATATGTTTACTCATGACCCAGCTCAGAAAATCAGACAAAGTAAATTCTTCTAATACTGCCTATTTAGAAATATATCCCTTTCACTTTCCTTTCCTCATTTTATGCTGTCTCAGCAATTCAGGAGTACTTGTTGCTGCAGAATGATGCTCAAATATAAATGGCTCATCATCACTAGCTCAGTTGGAGAATCTGAAAAACGATTACCCAAACCTGCATATGCATCTGTAGAAGCTCCAGGCATTTCCTAATTGAAAGTGGTATGCAAGATCTCTGGGCCGCTGTCCTACGAAGTGGTTTTGGATGATGGGCGTATCCGACGACACATCGACCAACTGCGCTGGAGGCTTCACAGCAACACTTCCGCTCCTGGCTCTGCTCTGGTGGGGGGGAGGAGGACCATAATCTTCATTCTGGATCACAGTCTCCCAGTTCCAGCAGTTTCTCACACACTGCTGGAAACGTTCCTGTGGCAGATCAGGGGCATTCACATACTTCAGTTAGTGCTCCAGATAGGGAGTTGCACCAGGGGTATCCACACAATTCTCATAATTCAGCTATTGCTCTAAAAAGAGAGTGTCCAGAAAGGGGGTCATCCCACACATCAGTTATTGCTCCAAACAGGGAGTACCAAGAAAGGGGGTTTGCCGTGGAGGCGGCTCCTGATTCTGGCACCTCCGACATATACAAGGG